TCATTGAACATGTTTAATTTCAAAGCACCCCACCACCATTTTTTCAGACACACTGGGACACTGATTCACTTGATGTGGAAGGCTGCTGGAGCGTGTCAGTTTCTGTGCTCCAGCAGACTCAGTAAAGTCTGCTCCAATGCACTGGATTTCCAGAATGTCAGAGCAAGCTTTGCGCACGTGTATAGGAGCCCTATGCATTTTACTTAATGTGCATTAAAATAGGTTAATGCATATTAAACATCACTTAAAAGTGTGCTCTTTAGTTAATGTGCACTAAGCCAGGCTACTGCGTATTTTCCTAGTACCTCACAATGGAAGTACTTGATTTAATGTACAATGACTAAAGCACATAAATGCATGTGTAGACACGCCCAATGTCACTTGGTATGATATGCCTACACTAAGTAGAAACACAGGGGGTGGGGACTATTTCTTTACAGAAATTTTATTAGGCTATAACTAATTTAGTTATTCAGACAGCTTATGGTTTTTTGGGGCTTTTGAAAAAGCTTCAAAAAAATCTACCAAGTTCTGATGGTGGTATAGGGAAATGTATAATAAATTATAACAATACAATATTTGTTTATCTCCTATAAACACCATCTCCTATAGTATTCTGTACCTGAGGGGTTTAGCATACATTTAAAAAGATCTGAAAATGTTTGTCAAGTTGATATTTTATTAGTAACGAACAGACAGGGAAACAGGTACAATTAGGTAATTTTCAAAGGGTGACATAAACTCATGATAGTGCAAAGCTGAACCCATACTTTTCAACTTGGTCTCTGTACATTCACCAGTAAGTTTAATTTTTCACACCCTTTCACTCTAGTTTAGAGATGCTCAAAATCCAATTATGCTGAAATTGTCTAGATTTCACACTGCATTACACATAGTACAAAAAGACTATAATGCACTAGTTACTATCCTCTTACTTGGTTTACGACAGAATAAATTCTTATGTTTATTTGAAACCTAAATATAAATGAAATTATGATTTGGGTGATTCCTTCTCTTGTAAAAATATTTCTTTACAAAATACCATAATGTCATTACTATCCAAATCTGGTGTATCCATTCAAAACACTCAGAGATTTATGTTGTATCACAATGTGGCTGAACATGATTCTGAAAAACATGAAGTGCCCCACACCCACACTGACTTGTGGGGATAGTACCTTATAGGGCCATGCCCATGAGTGCCTGGTGCCTCCTGAATCTGTGGGGGCACCCACAGAAGCTGTCGATAGTGACAGCTCTGTGGGGGGTGAGGGACCAGCCCTGCTGACAGCATTGGTGTCTGCTGTTGTGGGGGCAGCGCTGTTATAGGGGGCACGTGTACCCCTCTGCACCCCCTGCCAGTTGCCTATGGCCATGCCCTTAATTAGTGCGGCCTGAATCCATACTGATTCTGCAATTTGCTGCACAGCCAATGGAATCCCATGCGGACATCATAATTTGCAGGCTTAAACCCAGAAAGAATAACAAATGGAAATGATAACAAGTCTTGCTACTCTAACATTGAAAGCAAAACAAGGATGAAAGGCCTTCCATGAACAGAGAAAACGTCAAAGGTATAGTGCAGTAAAATTATTGCCACACCACTGGGAAGATTTGAAACTTACTCCCTCCAAAAGCTACGCTATAAATCTACCTATTGCTAGAATATTTTTCTTTACTGTAACAAAAATCAGCAAATGATATTTCTATTTCTGTAAAGTATTACAATTATTTTTCTATTTCTAATCCAAATGTGTCCTTAAATTTCTATAATTTCTATATGACACATCTTATACTATTACTATGTTGTATTTCAGGGGTTACCTAGACTCTGTGTAATGCTCTTGGTCCTTTGTTAACAGTCTTTGCTATCTATTCCTTTCTCTTAGCATTTATTGTCAGTTTACAAAACAGTACGCACATGTCCCAGTGTGAAAACTGCCCATGGGCATTATACTCTTGTGTGATTCATTAACTGAAAGTACCCCAATAATGAGGTATAGAAGTAACATTACTCTCTTACAGCACAAGCTAACAGACATGCTATTTAATCTTTATTAAGAATTCATTAGGCTCTTGGCAGGCTTGTCTAGCACTGCTTGACCAGGTGATATACTAATGTGTAAATCATTGTTTAATTAATTTCCAAAATGTAAATTTCAGCAAGGTGTTCATTTTACAGTCATAATCTCCCAATGCTAGAGACTTTGAACAGCTCTCTAAATATGCCTCCTACTGTATTCATAGCAACACTGTTATCTCCCACAGTATAGTTCCCTTGAGTTTTCTGAAAGACACCTCCCAGTTCCATCTGACGACAATGCAAGCAGTTTCATAAGGACAGGTTTCAGTGAATTTTTAACCAGGGGATGAGCATAACATATACAGCTTTGAGATTTACTGAGTGTTGAGATTGATGGTCAGAAAATACTGTATAATAGCTAGATAGCACGATTCCTTAATAAACTGAGAGCAGAATTGAAACAGTACATTATCTTGATCTATCTTGTTCTAAAAGCACAAATCCTACTTCACAGAGCTACTGTAAAGTAGCTATATGCCTGCATGGTCACATAACGTTCATTCCCAGAAACACATCCTCTTATTAATCTCCTAAGGATATTTTGTGCTGATATCCAAATAGCTACAGCTTCTATTCAACTAAAGCACCTCCAGGGCACTGCTGGCTATTTCTACTGAAAAAAAAATCAAATAGATCACTAATAATACATTCATGGGAATTTATCCACAAGAACCTCTTTTCCAATTCAAATTTGCCAAAAAATCCCAAACTAACAACAGTAAAAGCCATCAACCAAACAAAATATTAAAGCCATATCGACTGCATCTAACCCAGACAGAAAAAAGATTATTGTGTAGCCTGTATGGAAACACAAATATATCAATATAAAAAGCCATTGGAGACATGTAGACTTTCCAAGCCTTTTGGAGATCTCATGCAGAAATCTCCTGTCCACCTACAATGGTTGGGAACTCATCTTGAAAAATGTCACTTCAGCTCTGGAAGAAACCTGATTTCTCTATGAATTGCTGAGATTTGGTACAGCCCTTTGGGGCTCTTTTTTTTTCCTGTTAAAATCAAATTATTCCACTAACTTACTTGATGTGACACCTTTTTTAACAGACACTGGGGCTGGTGGGGAAGAGATGAAGTGAAGGGCCACGGCCTGTTCCCAGAGGAAATTAATGGAGAATTTCCCCTCCCTTCAGCAGTGGCATGGGGATCAAGCCCTTCCTATACAGCTCCATTGACTGATGCTAGCGGAGAGCCCCAGATTGCCGAGCGCTTCCGAGCTCATTCGGCTGTTTCCGAGGCTGCTCGGTCTTTACCGACAGCTCCCGAAGCGTCTCCGAGCGTAGCCGAGCGGGCAGCCGGCAACCCCCGAGCGCAGCCGAGCGCTCCCGATCTCCCAGCCCTGATCGCGGCCCTAGGCGGGGCAGGGCTGGGCGCTGTCCACCACCTGAACCGCCTGAAATCTACTTGCTACCGCGGCACAGGGCCCGGCAGCCGCCTCTCCCAGCCCGGCCTGCATCTCTACCCCCGCTCCTGGGATGGATGCTCACAGTCCGTCCTCTCTGCAGAGGGGACCTGCTCCCGAGGGCCCTGCGAGGGGCAGCGAGAGCAATGGTGCAGCTTCCCGCCCTCCACACCCAGCTCTGGGCCGGGACCTCCTTTCGCCATCACCCCTGGAAAACACCCTCTCTCTCTCTCTCTCTCTTTTCCCGGAGAAAAATAAAGGCACGGGGAGGCCATCGCCCTGCCACCCTGGGGACTGCTCCGCCATGGCGCCGCCAGGAAGAGGCTGGTCGTGTCGGCTCCAGTGCAAGGATTCCCCCCCCACACACACAAGGTTTGATGAAATGACACCCCCAGAGCCGCCCAGTTCCCCAGCCCCTGCCCCTCCCCGCCCCTCCCCGCATCGGCTTTCCTGGGGGATGCAATGAGTGCAGCCAGCCAGGCTAGAGCTGAGCAGGAATATGTATTTGTTGTTATTTTACAGCAGCGCCTAATTAGCAAACGTGAGTGTGAGTGTGCGTGTGCAAAGGGGCACGGCACAACCCCTGTGCAGTCCCACACCAGCCGGCTTCATCGCTCCTCACTTGCACCCTGGCAGCCTCGGGGATTTCAAACACCGAGCTCGCATCACACCAGAAATGGTGGATGGGAGGAAGGGGAAGCAGGAGCAGGCTCCCGAGGTGGCCGAGGAAGGAGCTGGTTTCCTCGGTGGGTTTTTGTTTGTTTGCGTTTTAATATCCGGGTTTAACTTTAATTGGTAATCCACGGCCAAATTCATCTCGAATTAATTAAGAAGAAAGGCTCAAATCTCGGGTAAAAGGGCAGCGGCGTTGAGTGGCGGCGAGCTGCGCTTTAAATCCGCATTACAGACAGATTAAAAAAAAATTGCTAGAGGGCCAACCCCGGAGCCCATGTCAGGAGATCAAACACGGGTGTGTGAGTGTGTTGGGGGGGGGGGAAGTGCCGGGAGATAAAAACCTGACATTAAGCTTAATTGACAGCGGTACGTTTAATGGCACTGCCCTGGTTACATCTGTGCCATTCACATCATCTTGGAAACCCACCTTCTCCCTCCGCCCTCCCGGTGAGGCAGAGAAACCACACGAGCTCCAATTCAGCACCAAGGCCGTGAACAGCGGACACCTGCCCGCCGCCCGGCCGGCTCGGCCCGCAGCCCAGCCGCCTTCCCCGCACAGCCGGAAAGCCCCGCTCCAGCCGTGCCAGGCCCTGGGCAGCCGCCCCCCCGGAGCAGCCTTCACACTTCCCCGAGAAACATGGCGGCCACAGCCATTCATACCGCCGAGCATCCCTCCCTGCCCGCGCCTGGCACCCGCAAAAAAAAAAGGGGGGGGGGAGGGGGGACGACGACGATACACGGACCCCCTTCTTGCCCCTCGGGTCAGATCCAGGATTTACAGCAGTCAAACAAGCCCCCACCCCGAAGGGGCGGGGGGGGACTTACTTCATCTGCTTCACAATGGTGCTTTTCCCAGATTCTCCAGCCCCTGTTGGGACAGACACAGAAAGGAAAAGAGCTGGTGAGTGGGAGAAAATAAGGAGATCAAGGAGATTACCAAGGAGGGAGCAGCTGGGCTAATGGATGCGGGGTGGAGGTGGGGGGAGGCCGGAGGAGGCAGGGAAGGAG